ATGCCTGTTGCACTGGAGTTTCTGTACCACTTCCTGAAGGGTTCGTGGAAGTAGTGACAGAGCAAGGGAGACCTAGGGATATGGGGACCAGGAGGCCTCTAAGTGCGGGAATCTCAGTGAGAAGTGAAGGCAGAGGACCATGGACTTCTGCAGTGGAAGCCGTCCAGCATTACGAATCAAGATTATTGAGCTCTGCCCCAACAGGGGCTGGGGAAGAACCAGGAAGTAGATCACCTTCTATTCCAACCCACCTGGAAGTCATCTTGGAAAGAAGCCAAGGCAGAGGAAGCTTCTGAGAAGAGAAAGAAAAAACACACTAATGAGCTGAACTCTGAACTGACTAAATTTTTCTTTTATTTACTTTAAAAAATTAAATCTTTATTATTGAAAGTATTAAATATGTCCCTCATTGACCCCTTTTAGCCCACCCCCATGCCCTGCCCCAGTCCTTCACCACCCTATTGTCTGTGTCCATGGTTTAAGCACATATGCATACAAGTTCTTTGGTTGATCTCTTCCCACCCACTGACCCACATCTGCCTTCCCTATTTAAAAGGCTCCTTTTAAATAAAAGAAGCTGTTATCTATAACTATCAAAGTATAAGACTGTATGAAATGAAGAATATATTACAGGGAATCAACAGTGGAGTAGATGAAGCAGAGGATCAAATCAGAGATTTGGAAGATAAGGAAGTAGAAAACATTCAAACAGAACAGCAGAAAGAAAAAAGAATCTAACCCTAGCTGGTTTGGCTCAGTGGATAAAGCATTGGCCTGAGGACTGAAGGGTCCTGGGTTTGATTCCAATCAATGGCACGTACTTCAGTTGCAGGCTCAATCCCTGGCCCCGAATGGGGCATGTGTGGGAGGTAACCAATTGATGTGTCTCTCTCACATTGATGTTTCTCTCTCTGTCTCTCTCCCCTCCCTTCCACTCTCTCTAAAAATCAATGGAAAAATATCCTTGGGTGAGGATTAACAACAACAACAGAAAAAAATAATCTTAAAATTTGAAGATAGTGTAAGGAGCCTCTGAGACAACTTCACACATACCAATATTCACATTGTGGGAAGGGGGCCCAAAGGAGAAGAGAGAGAGCAAGAAATTGCAACTCTATTTGAGACACTAATGACAGAAAACTTCCCTAACTAGTGAAGGAAATAGACATACAAGTCCAGGAAGTACAGAGAGTCCCAAAAAAGATGATCCCAAAGAGGCCCATATGGAGACACATCATAATTCAAATGCAAAGGCTTAAAGACAGATAATCTTAAAAGCAGCAAAAGAAAAACAGTTACCTACAAGGAGCTCCCATATGACTGTCTGCTAGTTTCTCAACAGAAATTTTGCACACCTGAAGGGATTGGCAGAAAATTTGCACACCTGAAGGGATTGGCAAGACATATTCAAAGTGATGAAAAGCAAGGATCTACAACCAAGAATACTCTATCCAGCAAAGCTACCATTTAGAATTAAAGGACAGATAACGAGCTTCACAAACCAATATTACATAAAGTATTAAAAAGTCTTTTCTAAGAGGAAGAAAAAAAAGATAAAAATATGAACAACAAAATGGCAATAAATACATAGTGATCAACAGTTAAATCTATAAAAAAAAATAAATGAACAAGCAAACAAAAATAGACTCATAGATAGAGAGAACATTTTGAATGTTGCCAGATGGGAGGAGGATTGGGGGCATGGCTGAAAAAGGTGAAGGGATTAAGAAGTATAAATTGGTCGTTACAGAATAGTCATGGGGATGTAAAGTCAGCATAGGGAATATAGTCAATAATCTTCCTATATAATAAAAGGGTAATATATCTTCTAGGTTTTATATTTCATTTTACCTTAAAGAAAACATGTACTGTGTGTTTTTTACTACGGAATTATGTTACTATAGTTATGGAGATTTTCACTTTTTCGTATGAAATACAGAAATAATTTCATGATAATTAAGATTCTAACTTTCCCTAGACAGATAAAGTATTTTTTGTTAGTTTGTACAGTCTTGGTCAGATTTCTTATATAGCTTTTCTTTCATTTAATTATTTATTATCTCAGAAAAATAATTTTACCACTGAAGAGTCTGAAAGTTCAGGTGATGAAAAAAAACAAAAGATAACATCAAACTTTAAGGAGGAATCTAATGTGATGAGGAACTTTCTTCAAAAGAGCCAGAAAACATCTAGAAGTGAAATTCCAGTTAAAAGGTAGGTTTGCTGATGGTAGTATTTTCATGACATTCCTATATAATAAAAGCCTAATATGCTAAGTGTCCGGTCGTCTGGTCATCCATTCAACCAATCAAAACGTGATATGCTAATGATATGCTAAGACCGCTCAACCACTAGCTATGACGTGCACTGACCACCAGGGGTCAGACAGTTGACCAGTCATATGATGTGCACTGACCACCAGGAGGCAGATGCTCTGGCCAGTAGGTTAGCTTGCTGCTGGGCCGATCGGGACTGAGTGAGACAGGCCGGACATGCCCTGGAGCCCTCCCCACAGTCCCTCCCTGGCTGGCCAACCTCCCGCATCTCTCCCTGGCCCCAATTGTGCACCACTGGGGTCCCCCAGCCTGGCCTGAGCCCTCTCACAATCCAGGACCCCTTGGGGGATGTCAGAGAGCCAGTTTCGGCCCGATCCCACAGGCCAAGCCAAGGGACCCCGCTGGTACACGAATTCATGCACCGGGCCTCTAGTAGTCTAATAACTATGTATGATGTCAGATGGGCACAAGATTTATCAGGTCAATCACTTAGTAAGTTATATAATGTCTAAACATTGGGTATACACCTGAAACTAATTTAATATTTAAAAATTTTTTTTATAGATATAAGACTAGACTGGGAAGCAAAGAGGCATGAAAAAGCAGTGGAATAATAAAGATAATGAACAGAACTACCTTTGTGTTTATGTGTGGTTGTTCAGGTGGAAGTATACACATCTGCTATGGATGTACTCTTTTTAAAGTTAATCATCTTCCCTTCAGATAAAAACTTCACTGGTTGGCTGTGTATCTTTCCTCCCCTTTCTCCATGCTCAAAAAAAATGTACACACACACACACACACACACACACACATGTTCAGTTTTGTGTTGTTGTTTTTTATAATTGGGAGTAGATTATGCCCAACTATTTTTCTTACTTAACACTACGTTATGGACAGTACAGTATAGCGAATGTATGTGCATTTATACGTGTGTGTATAGTGCATGTATATGTGTATATATGTATATATATAATACACAAATAAAATGTATATATAGTCTATTTTAATTCTATAGTATGCAATATACACAAATCACATTCATAATTTACTGTTTCTCTCCCACCACCATCACCACACTTTCTATTGACCATCCTAAGCCATGTTTCATAGATATCTACACTTGTTTTCTCATCTAATCCTCACAAGAGCCCTCTTAAGTAAAGGTCATTACTGAGACTCATGGCACAATGACAGGCTTGGGCCATGTGTCCGGATGCCACTTTCCATGCCCTTTTCTCTGTACTGCATCCAAGCTCTCAGAGTGTCACTCCCCATGACCGTCTGCAAATCCACCATCAGGGATGTGTTAGTTTGCTAGGACTATTGTAACAAATTACCACAAACTGGGTGACTTAAAACAGCAGGAACTTATTCTCTCACAGTTCTGGAGGCCAGAAGTCTAAAACTAAGAGGCTCTAGAGAAGAATCCTTCTTTACCTCCTCCTGGCTTCTGCTAGTTGCTGGCAATCCTTGGCCCTCTTTGGCGTTCAGACACAATCTCTGCCTCCATCGTAGCATGGTGTTCTCCCTGTGTACCTCTGTGTCCAAATGTCCCTCTGATGGACACCTGCCATTGGCTTGGGGCCCACATTAATTCAGTATGACTTCATCTTAACTTGATTGCATCTGCAAAGACCCTTTTCCAAATAAGGTCAAATACACAAGTTCTGGGTAGACATGAATTTGGGGAGAACACTTTTCAACCCAGTACAAGGGGGATGTTATTTTAAGTCGAAGTGCTATTTTTTGAAAACTCATTTTCAAGTTCTAAAGTGCAAATGGCTTATTTCTAACGAGCCCTGCTTATGTGACCAGTGCCATGTGAATGTGAACAGTGGAGTAGGCCTAGTGCTGGAGCTGGAATGTTGATAGAAGAAACCTTGGGATCAGTCCAGATTCTCCACTTCTCCGCCCTCCCTTCCCCACCCAGCTCACATCAGTCACCAATCACTGTGTTTCGGTCCCCTCTCCTCAGAATCATGAGATCACTTCCTCTTCTTCAAAAGCCAGGCCACCGAATTCCTCAGCTGAGCAGCAGCATCACCCCGTGGGAGGGGTTTCTTCACCTCCAGTCTTGCCCTCCTCCAATTCCATCCTCTAACCTTCAGCCCAAGTGACCTAAGTTTACAATTTAGATCATGCAAAGCCTGCTCATTGCCTTCAGGGCACAGCCCAAGCCTGCTGGCTGGCACAGGTGCACGAGGTTTTTGCTTTCCAAGGCTGTCTCAGCTCTCACCCAACCCCCAGAATGCCATGACTTGTCATCCCTGCCATTTTCAGAACCTATCATGCTCTCAAACACCTCCTTGCCTTTACATACTCTGTTTCTGGCTGAAAACTCTCTTCCCTTCCTCACATAGTGGGTTGAATAGTGAACCCCAGAAAGCCATGTACATGTCCTAATTCCCAGAACCTGAGGATGTGACCTTATTTGGAGATGGTGTCCTTGCAGCTATCATTAACAGGAATCTCAAGATGACATCATCCTGGATGACCTGGGAGGGCCTACGTCCCATGACAGGTGTCCTTACAGAGGAAAGCAAAAGGAATTTGACACAGAGACAGGCTGAAGGGAAGCCATGTGAAGACAGAAGCAGATATTGGATTGATGCAGCCTCAAGCCAAGGAACGCCTGGAGCCACCAGAAGCTGCAAGAGGCAAGGAAGGATTGTCCCTGGGAGCTTCCAGAAGGAGTACAGCTCTGTCAACACCTATATTTTTGGATTTCTGGCTTCCAGAACATGGAGAGAATAAGTTTCTATTGTGTGAAGTTTGTGGTAATTTTTTACAGCAGCCCCAGTAAAGTAATACACATGGGTTGTCCCCAGGTTCTCATGGAAGGCTGGGGGTTGCTGATGTCACAAGGGTACCACACTAAGAGGGTGAGTAAGGACTGAATCCAGCTCACATGGGGCCTGCCAAGCTGTGTGCTCTGCACAAAACTGCCTGTTGTCAGCAGAGCGCCTTTCTCTTCTTCACACAAAGGCACCTGATGGGACAGCAGCAGCCCTAGTTCAAGGTACTGCTCTTGGGTTGTTCCTCTAGGAAGCCTTCCCTGACCCACATACTCTCCCTCAGTCTTGTTTGGCGTGTAGACACATGGCTCCAATCTCTGCCTCTATCATAACATGGTGCTCTCCCTGTGTACCTCTGTGACCAAATGTCCCTCTGATGGATAGCTGCCATTGGCTTGGGGCCCACATTAATTCAGTATGACCTCATCTTCACTTGGACCCTTTACCGGCTCTAATAACACTTGTTCACACATTTATCCTGCTATAGGACAATTGTCATAACTGTAATGTTGCTACTGTTATGAATCGCAATGTAAACATCTGATATGCAGGATGTATTTTCATTGTTACAAATTGAACATAATTAAAGCATAGTGATTAATCACAAAAACAATATGTAATTATATATGTGTTTTCTGATGGTCTTAGGCAGCCCCTGTGAAAGGGTCGTTCGACCCCCAAAGGGGTCGCGACCCACAGGTTGAGAACCGCTGGACTCTATTCACATTTCTGTCCCCTTCTCTGTATCTTGAAAGTGAGGACTTTCTTATTCTCTCCTTTCGCCTATACCTAGCACATAGTAGGTGCTCCAGACCCATTTAATGAATGAGCAGGAGCACACAATGGGACTTTAGTGAGCCTGAACAATGAGAAGGTATGGTCAGCAAGGGCAGGGATGGGGTGCTATTCCCAAATAGGTCCTGAGTAGACACAGTTTCATGCACACCACCATTTTGCTTAAACTAGCCATCAAACAGAACCAAAAAATTGACTTAGAGAGCATCAGGAGAACATTAACGTTTTGCAAATGCCATATCTGACCTGGTTTCTTTATCTTTTCCCTAATTGAGGCATCAGTGCCTAAGGATGTTTCCACCGGAGCCAAGCACGTGCTCCACACATCAGCAGGACCCAGTGGACTGCATTCCATGCAGACGCACACATGAGCTCATGCAAGTCCCAAGGTGCTCATCTGGTCCAGATTTGAAGGAAACTATTGAGCTGGATGGAGAAAAACACATCATGTATCAACTTAATACCAAACAGATTTTATGACATACTGAAACTGCTTTTGATAATCTACTAATATATCAGAAGGGCTAATGAATTAAAAACAAAACCCAAAAAAGGAAAAGAAAAAGCTAATCGTTGTATGTTTGAGGTCTGGACAATGTCTAGGAGTTTCAGGGATGACAAAAAGACAAAAAGTTGCAGGGAGCTTTAGGGAAAGTTATCCAAAAGGCCCCCCGAGAAGCAATCTTGCCTTTTGTAGCAAGAGGTGTATTTTGCCAATTTATGAGCAGAGGCTTTTTTTCTTTCTGGCTGAAAGTCAGGATGGACTTTTCCAGAGATGAAGAAGGACCACAGTCCGGCCATTCTCATCCCTGGGAAACATAGGTGGCTACTGAGGGAGGAGTCAAGTCTTGGCCCTCTAAGTTGGCAATATGTCAACCCATTGGTGGTTTCCCTGTAAGTTGATAGTTTGAGCCTCCCTCGACTATCACTTGACCACCCATCAAAATGGGGAAAATGGGGATTAATATGATATATTAGCTAAGAATTTTTGGCTGCTAGCAAAAACCAATTGTGGTTAGCATAAGAAATAATCTAATTGCAGGAAAGGGTATTAGAGAGATTAACCCAATAAAATGGAAAGTTACTACACCATGGGAAAGACAAAGATTGGGATAATCCAGTGTCCTCAGTAGTGGGAACTGCCATCCATGGGACAACTTTAAGTTATGAGTGACCAATTCTGAGAGGAGAGAGGCTGATTGACCCAGTTTGGAATTAGATGGAATGGACTGGATTGGAATGGATTGGTGATTGGATTGGATTGGATTGGATTGGATTGGATTGCACTGCATTGCATTGCATTAGATTGAATTGCATTAGATTGTATTGCATTGCATTGTATTGCATTGGAATGGAATGGATTACTCAGCTAAGGGCAAGATTAAGTGGTCCTTAGGCAGATGATTTCTGTAAGCCAGTGACCACTGTAATTGGTGCCTACCATAAATGCCTACCTGGAGAACATGTAGGGAAGATTTTAGGACATATGGAAATTTAATATAAGGCCTTTCTTTTGTTTGCTTTTCTTAGTGCAGAATTTTTATCTGGGTGTGGTGGGGGATGTGCTACTGTCCCCTGGGATGGGGGATGGCATTTGGAAATTTGTGGAATTCTAATGGACTGTCTCTATGCTTGGGAGGAGGGGTACTACTGTCCCTTAGAAGGCAGGAACCCAGAAAACTCAACTTCTTTCTGCAATGCCTCCATTGAGTGGCACTGTATTAAAGTAATTCAGGTGGTTCCTGACTGAATGTTTATGATACTAACTCCTTTTATGTGACAAGGAAAGGGGTGTTACTGTTTGTATTTACTTTTATTTTATGGTAGGTTGTCATTTGGGGATGTTTTTATTTTATTGTATTGTATTTTTTTACATAACAAAATTACTTTTGTTGGCATTGTATAAATAGACATATATTTTTCAAATCAATAGAAAACATTTTATTATTCAACACATGATTTTTTAAAAATTGAAAAATAATCTTATTTTGCACAATATGCCAACATAATTTTCAAACAGTCTAAAGATTTACATATATAATAAAAATTTATGAAAGTTCTGGAAGAGATTATTTGTGTGCAATTACTTTTGGGAGCAGAGAAGGTCTGCCAAAGCACTCCTAATGGCCAAGTCCATGATATATATTTGACCACATAAACATATTTCTATGGCAAACATAGATTTAAAAGACAAATAAAAAATATATGCACACACACATAAACAAAGAGGGGGGAGAGAGAGAGAGAGAGAGAGAGAGAGAATAGCCTGACAAGATGTTGGAGAAATAGGCACTCAGTTACTAGCAGTGGGCATATAAATTGGTCAAACTTTCTAGAGACCAAGTAAATCCTTTAAACTATGATTTCTATCTTTAGGAACTTATTCTAATATTTATTTTTTAAATAGGCAAGAAAGGAGTGAAGGACATTTTTTAGACTAAAAATGCTGTCCTCACATCAGGAGCTCCAGGAGATGGTCTCCATTTGGGCCCCTACAGGAAATATTATAAAGAGGGTCTCAGTGATCAGTTAAGCCCATAGGGCAAAGGCCACACTGTTTTAGGACCCCATGCTTAAGCATAAGGAGGAATTTGGGACAAAAGACCATTGGAGAGCCCTTTCCTCTCTGGAGATAAGCAGTGTAACCCTTTGTAACAAAAAAATCATTTGACCCTTTCAAAAATAAGGGTGAAGTCAGAAGTCAGGACTGCCTGTGCGGTAAGCTCCAGGGAAATGCAAGGAATTTTTAAAAATGAATAAATTCTCAGAATAAGGCTGTAAATGGAAAATGTCCACTGACAACTGGGGCAGCCATATTGGAGGAAGTTAATATGCAAATGTGATTAACCTCATTTTATTTTTACACGGAAAACCAGAGGGATAGCTAGGAAATAAGCTCACTACTTCTGGTTGTTGGCTGATTCTAGCTTTTAGGGGAAATTCTCTTCCTCAGACAGAGAGCTGTTCTTATGGCAAGGAACTCACGTGCTTTTTTTATTGCTACATTTTTTCTTTGAGTCATGGTTGGCAATTAGGCATTCATATTCGACTATTTACCTTTGGGAATCCTCTGGGTATGTGAAGAATTAGTAACAACTAATAGATATTGCATCTGTTTGGCTGGTGTTGGGAAAGAACCTTTGCAATTAGCCAAAGACATTCGCCAGCATTACAAGAGGGCAAATAGAAGCATATCTTGGGATCTCATCTACTTCTGCACCTGTCCTCAGGCCAGAGGGAGTGGGGGTGGAAAATCCCACCTTTCAAAGGTTAAGGACGACTTGTGACTTAAGCAGAGAATTGTGGCAATTGACAAAAGAATGAAAAGTTGCGCCATAAAGTTAAAAAAGGAAAAAAAAGAAGGAAATGACCAAGGCAGCAGGAATAAAAAAGTGTGTGTACAAGGAGGAACACATAGTTTGGAGGTAGGATAGTATGAAGCATGAGGAAGAGGGTGGGGTGAGATACAGCTGGGAACCTAACATGTTAAAGCCCTGCCATATGCATTTGTTGAATGAACATGAGAGAGTCCAACCAGGTATGGCTTTGTGGACCAAATTAAGGAGTTTGGTGGCCTCCAGGGGATGGGGAGGGGGGAGATTTAAGCAAAGGAGTACTATGATATTAGAAAGATCACTTTAGCAACACTGTTGAAGATAATTTTCTTTGTTTTTGTTTTGTTTTTTAGGCTGGGAGGAAGGCAACTTTATCTGTCTTTTCTAGAACTTTATAGGGAAAATTTATATCAGGAACTCTTTGAAAAGTGGGCTAAGGGGTATGCCTAGAAGTTACAATGTTCTTTTTACTAAAAGTTAGTCTAGTAATCCAACTATAGTATGTACTTAATTAAATACACAAATTAAACCATGACACCATCATCCTAAGGAATTTTAATATATGTCTGACTAGATTTCTTTTCTTTCTTCTTTATCTTTCTTTTATTTTAAAAAATTTCTTAGTTCCTTTCCTGCAGGCATTTCTGTTCTCTGTTCCTCCTCTTCCTCCTCTTCCTCCTCCTCCTCCTCCTCCTCCTCCTCCTCCTCCACCTCTCCTTTTTTCTCTTGTCTTATTTATTTCAACAAGTGGCTAAATTGGTCTCAAATCATACCTCAACTTCACCATTGGAGTTAAAATGGAGACACAAAGACCATGTAGGAGACCACTGTAAGGAGCCAGGCAAGAGATTATGCTGAGAGCCTGAACTGGAAATATATCAGATATGGAGAAGAAGGGGCATGTTTGAGAACTAGCTAAGAGTTAAAATTGCTCAGCTATGTGTACATGGGGAGCAGGGGTGGCAATAGAATTAGAGGAGCCAGGAAGAATTCAGGTTTCTTGCCTGAATGGTTATCATGTAATTAAACATAGAGCATAGGGTGTGAAACATAACTAGGAAGGAAGGTGATAGGTTTAGTTTACGGCATAGGGATTTGAAGTCCATGTGGAAACATCCAACGGGAAGTAGATGGGTCTGAAACCAAGGCAGCTATGACAACATTGGACATTGTAAATTCAGTGCTTGTTGGTTAGAGGCTGTGGTAGCTCATTTCAAAGACAACAACCATTCATTTCTTCCCTCCCTGAATGCACATGCCAGTCCCCCATCCACAGAAGGAGTTTGTTTCCCCTCCTCTTGATTCTGATTAGACTTGTAAGTGCTAGGATCCATAAAATGCTATCAAAGAGACTTCTGAGACATTCTGGGACTTCTGAGTTTAAGCCTTGAGAGGACAGGCATTTTTTAGTTAATTCCTCTTGGAAGATTCCTCTTGGAACATCGGATGGTATGCAGCTGCCATGCTATGAGGAAACCCAAGCTATGAAACCCCAGACTCATGATCATGAATAGTTGGTGTTGTGTTTTAATCACTAGTTTAAAATGGTTTAATACATAGCAAGGGAAACAGAAATCACTTGAAGCCTTGAGAGGACAGGCATTTTTTAGTTAATTCCTCTTGGAAGATTCCTCTTGGAACATCGGATGGTATGCAGCTGCCATGCTATGAGGAAACCCAAGCTATGAAACCCCAGACTCATGATCATGAATAGTTGGTGTTGTGTTTTAATCACTAGTTTAAAATGGTTTAATACATAGCAAGGGAAACAGAAATCAGCACCGGAACATGGAGCACTTCTAGAACAAAAACCAAATACATATGACATTGCCTTTGGAATCTGGCAGTAGGCAGAAGCAGGGAGAGCTTTGAAAAGATACAAAGGCTGGAAGCAGTGAGGAAATTGCTACTAAAGATTTGAGAATAAGGGCCATGAGTTATGGATTGGGAGAGTAATTATCAAAAGAAAGAAAGAGTAGGAATTTATAACCAAGAAGCAGTGTGTGGGGGGTGGTGGATGAAAAATTAATCAAAAGAAACATCAGGAGTTAGGGAGGATACTGGCTAAACTTACCTAGCAGGATCCTTGCTGAAGACAAGCCAGGGTGATCAGACATCACCTGGGGGATGGTGAAAGATGAGGAATCTGATTAGATATCAAGAGTGATCAGACTTGGAGGGTGGGGGATTCTGGCTAAACCAACTTAGCAGGATTCTTGCTAAAATTGGACAATGCAGAAGTACACGGAGGTCCCAAAGTTGGGCCTAGATGAAAAAGAGATCAGAGAAGCTCTGCTATCAGTGGAAGTGGAGTTCTTGGGGTGCCAAGAGGAAAAGAATTTCCTGAGCCCCCCACAGGAGGATGGGGTTTCATGGAAAGCTTTATTGATGATATAAAATTAAGGGGGTTCCCCTCCACCTTCCCATCTCTGTTTATCTCACCATGGAAGAAGTCCAAACTTGTCTCCAGCAGGGCCAGAATTAAGACCACTGTTCAGAATTACTGTTCCTTATTAAAGTGCAGTCCAGTCCAGTATCCTGTGTGTGGAGTCCATGTGGCCGTGGACATGAGGCTGCTAAGGCCACATGGCTGTGGAGAGAGAACAGGAGAGCACATGGGTGAGTGTGGGCTACAGAGCAAATAAGAACAAGAGGTAAGAGCAAGCAAGAGAGAGGGAACGCTGGGGATTTTAACCAGGAGCTTTTTCAAACTAATCAGTTAACCTTTTAACACACTGCGGACCAGTAGTTTTATTGCTAGCTTTACCCAGTGGCCAGATAAGTTTCTATTGAACGAGTACAAAAAACATTTTACATAAATGTTAAAGGCACGCCTTAAAATTAAATACCCGTTGCATTTTGAAGTTATTTTATTACATATTCTTACAAGCTAATATCTTTTTGAAGTATGATACTTTGTAAAACACTGTGTAATATGAAAACATGAGAATTCTCGTGATCCGTCTGCAATGTTAAGATTTCACGTGCTGCTAGACAACCCATTGTTTCCTAGGCTAGACTGACAGGCAAGCACCTCCCCTGTGTCACCCCGACTTCTATTGCGCATATACCTATCTCCCTCTCCCCTCAACAATCCAGTACCCGGTGGGGGAAGGAAGGGATGTTAATTTCCTTGAGGGACAATGCTGTGTGAAGCTGGAGCTTCCTGGTGAAGCTTCTCAGGTGACCCTGCTTACAAATCTGACTTCCCTTTGCTTTCTTTCTTTTGTTAATATTAACTAGCTATTTACAAGGCTAACAGCTTGAGTAGAGTTTGGTCAACGAGAGAATCTGTCATACTTCCCTATCAAGAGGTAGAGTCTATTTCCCTTGGGCTGGCCTTGTGACTGCTTTGGCCAATATGATGCAGTAGAACACCTGGGACTTTTGAATCTCCACCTCCTTCTTGTGGCACACAGTCCCTATCTGTGAGGAAGCTCCACATCCATGAGGCAAGGAATATGCAAAAGAATAACAAGGCCCTGAACTGTCAGCCCTTGAGCTCCCAGTCGGTGGCCAACACCAATTGCCAGCCATGCGAGGCCATTGTGAAGCTACGGTCCCTGTCAGCACCCTAGTCAATTCTGCAAAAAGCAGAAGAATCATCCACTTAACCCACAGAATTGTGGAGATCATAATTTACTGTTGTTTTAAACCACTGAGTTTCAGGTGGCTTGTTGTAGCAACCTGTAACCAAAACAGATAAAGATCAACACATTGAGATTGGATGAGATATCTCCAAAAAAGCACATAAAATAAGAAAACAAGAACAACTCTGGGGAAAACAAGAAAGTGAGGTGGTTAGAAGGGCCCCCCGAGGAGACTGAGAAGACAGGTTCAAAGAGATAGAAGGAGATCAAGAAGAAGCAACACCGCAGAAAACAACGGAGGACTCCTCAAAGGTGGAGGAAAAGGGCCAACCGTGCCAAAAGCAGCAGAGAGTTCTAGAAAGAAAAGCAAGGATGTGGAAATCTGCCATCAGCTTTGTAATGTGAAGTCACTGATGACCTTTGCTAAAGCAGCTTCAGCAAAGTGGTGGAAACAGAAGCCCGATTTCAGGGGGTGAAAGATTTCTAGTCTGGAAATTTTACTTAGTCATAGACAGTCACAAGGAGGGGAACAACAGGTACAGACATCTCTGGCAACCAAGTGTCTCGAAAGGAAGTCAGAGTAATGGGACATTTGGTAAATGAGGTCACGGGTCAGAGAGGTGTTATATGAACACATTTATGCTTTCCAATCAAGCTCTAGGTTGCCTCGATTTTTTTTTTTAGAGGACATCTTCTGACTGGTGTGTGACCTCTGCTGCTATGTGTGTCCACATGGCTCTGCTCAAAAGCTGAGCGGAACTGAACTGGTATGAAGGGTGGCACTATGTGGTGTAGAGAGCACTGAATTGGGAGTTCTAGCCGGATGCCAGCAGCTAGCTACAGCAAGTCAATTCCCTTCCAGACCTCAGCTCCTTCCACATTCAATAAGGGGTAACATTCTATAAAGGGAGTTCATTCTCAAAAATTTTTACATGTCATTATAATTTATTGTTCTTGTTGTTTCCTGAAAGTCTGAAGTGTGAATATGGCTAAATCATCAAACTTATGCAAAATACATGCAGCGTAATGCCTTTCCCTAAAGCACACACAGTATCTAATTTCTAGCCCATATCCTATTGAGTTGGAGCTTGGGTATAAGATATTCAACCAAGGGTCAGGTCCTTCCCAAGCCCTCAGAGCCAGGATCACCCAAAGCAGGTGATTCTGGGCCCCAGGGTTGATGAACTAAGATCTTCACCTTGGTTATACCTGGGGCAGAGAGGTCTGTGGGCAAACCCAGGGATACAACAGGCTGCCAAGCACATAGGGAAGAATCAGGGGTTTACCAAGTAGTTTGCTCCCTAAAAGGACAGGTATTCTTCAGCTTACATGGGTTGGGGAGACAGACCTCTGTCCCTTAAGGTGTTGCAGAGACAGGAATACACACAAGCCTTTCAGTATCTCTCCCTCTTGAGGGTCACCATTGTTCAGCATTTTTTTTTAACATTTAAAATCTATTGGGATATACTATTTCTGCATCAGCTTCTTTCTTTTCTATTTCTAATTTATACTTTCATTTTTGCTCTATGCGGTGCCTTTGTTCTCAGGTACACTTAGAAATAAAGCCAGTGGGTAAGTGGTTTTGGTACAGTTAGGAAATGTATTTAATGGGTATTACCATGCTTTCTCTTTTTAGAGAAGAAAATAGGCTAGAAAGGAAAATCTTATTGCATCTCTCACAACTGCCACCCCAATCCCTAATATTTTAACGTCAATATTATTAGTGTGGCCCTGGCTGGTTTGGCTCAGTGGATAGAGCGTCAGCCTGTGGACTGAAGGGTCTCAGGTTTGATTCCGGTAAAGGGCACATGCCCAGGGTTGCAGGCTCGATCCCCAGTGTGGGGCAAGCAGGAGACAGCTGATCAAGGATTCTCTCTCATCATTGATGTTTCTATCTCCCTCTCCCTTCCTCTCTGAAATAATTAAAAATACATATTTAAAAAGAAAACGACTTAAAAACCTACGTCCAATTTACTTCTCTAATTCTACCTCTATTTTGGTACAGAAAATTCTATAGGCAAATGTCTCTGCTCTTTGTCCTTTCCACTCTGCTCCTTAATATATATATTAGAGGCCCGGTGCACAAAAATTTCTATTTCTAATTTATACTTTCATTTTTGCTCTATGCGGTGCCTTTGTTCTCAGGTACACTTAGAAATAAAGCCAGTGGGTAAAGAAGCTCGGGGGTCCCTCAGCCCAGCCTATGCCCTCTTGTAGTGTGGGACCCCTTGAAGGATGTCCACCCCAGTGGGGACCCTCACCCCATGGAGGTTTGGCCAGCCTGGGTGAGGGGCTGATGGCTGTTTTCAGGCTGGCCACACCCCCTTTAGGGTGGGGGTCCCCACTGGGGTTCCTGACCAGTCTGGGTGAGGGGCTGAGGGCCATTTTCAAGCTGGCCAACTAACCTGGTGACATAAGCTCCCAGCCTCTCCTTTTTTTCTTTTCTTTTTTTTTTATTCTGGGATTTATTTACCTTCTATAATTGAAACTTTGTTGCTTTCAGTGGAGCTCAGAGCCGGGCTGCGGCAGGCGGGGAACCTTGGCTTCCTCCATCACTGGAGCAAGCAAGCTGCCTGCTCACTCCAGCTCCGTGGCTGCCGGCCGCCATCTTGGTTGGGTTAATTTGCATATAGTTGCTCTGATTGACTGGTGGGCGTGGCTTAAGACATAGCAAAAGTACGGTCAATTTGCATGTTTGTCTTTTATTAGTATAGGATATATAATTAGTGTGGCAGGAGGAAAAATATATTTGTGGCAGAAAAAAATAATTTCTTATTCCCCACCAGGTTCTAAAGAGGAGGGCCCTCTGAGCATTTGTGCTAAGTGGGATGGTGAGTGTGTGGAAGAAAAAAGGGGCCACACACTAAACCTGACCAGCTCAGGGGAGGCCTACATGGCAGCCTTACGAACTTGGAGTCTGAAAGTAACAACATAGGGTGGTCTGAAATGAAAACTCTCTAATTAAAAGTGAATCATGGTAGGTAGTCATGTCAGGCCAGTATTTTTCATATATATATTTAATTTCTTTATTGTTGAAAGCATTACAGTTGTCCTCCTTTTTCTCCCCCAGTACCCACTCTACCCTGCCCCCCTAGGCATTCCCTGCATTATTGTCTATCCATGGGCTATGCATATATGCATATAAGTTCATTGGTTAATCTCTCCCCCC